GTGACTTAATCTTTTTCTTTTTGTTCTTCTTATTCTCAGTCTAGTCTATTGGTCCTGAGAGGAAGGCGGCAAGCGCAATTCGAAACTCGTAATTTGCACCAAGACCTTTGTGGGAGGTTCACCCACCGATTGCAGGAACTTTACCGGAGCCTAAGCGAGGTTTTGGAGACAATGAAATTTCAAGTAAACCTCTTTATTTTTGTGTGTTATTATGCAATTATCAAAGTACACCCTTCTAGTTTGTCTACTATGTGTGCATGCGTTTCTATGAACTTGCCTTTTTATTCATAAATTCATCGAAATTAAGTAAAGGGAATACCTGTATGAAATTCATCTACTATTTTTGTTGTTTGAATTCGGACAAAGAAAGATGAATTGGGGAAAGGTGAGAGGAAGATAGTTTTGCTTGAATTTGGCTAGGTCTTAAAGGTCGGGCATTGTTTCTAAAATGAATTACCTGATTGCTTTGTTTTGTTCTGTTTTTTTAAGAACTAAACATTGTTTCTAAGATGAATGATTTGGTTGTTGTTTTTTTCTATGACTTGTTTTCTTCACAACCAGACATTGTTTGTAAGATGAATGGTCTGATTGTTGTTTTCTTAAAGTTTTGACTGTTTGAACTTTCGGGGTAAGACATTGTTTCTAAGATCAATGGTCTGACCATTGTTTATTTCTGAGTGGTTTCTAAACAAACTCCGGGCATTGTTTCTAAGATGAATGACCCATAATACTCTACTTTTTTTTTGTATTGAGAAAATGGGTTAAGCTTTGTTTCTAAGATGAATGACTCAACTTTTTTTTATGTTTCTTCTGAGAGAGGTCAATGTCAAAAGACTATATATAATTTCTAAGATGAATGGTTTAGTCTAAGGTCACACATACTTAATGAGAACTGAGAACAAAAGTTTCTCATAATTTTACTACTTATATAAATATCTATGCGAACAAGGCTAGTCGGAGATTGTTTCTAAGATAAATGGTCTGACTATAGTCTTATCACAAAACAAAAAGTACAATTAAAACTTATAATTGAAGGTAACTTGGGTCGACTGAACATTGTTCATAAGATGAATGGTTCAGTCCTACGCTCTCTTTGAACGGTAAGTTCATAGAAATATATATAACTTGCCTATTAAACAATTTAGGGATGACTAAGCATGATTTCAAAGATAAATGGTCTAGTCGCATGCCCAATGAAGAGAGAAGTAGTTGTGAAACTTGTTCGTGTATAACGAAGGTGAAAAATTTGACATTGTTCCTTAGATGAATAGTCTTACGCAATGCCCTATGTAAAATAAGATAAAAAGTTAATCAGCATCGGGTTTGAACAACTACTTGCATGAAAGATAACTTGGGATTTTTGTGAGAGACTTACTTTGGTTGTATGTGTTAGTTTGATTGTAAATCTAGTACGAGTTATCTTCTAATAGGTAGTTGTTTTAGGTGTTCCTCATGTGTTGAAGCTAGAAGAGTTAGTTTAATTTTTGTTTTTCATAGTTAAGTTCATCTTTCATATTTGACTTTGTGTAAATCTTGGAAAGACACTTTCGCTAAAAGGAGTTATGCCCAAATTTTTACAAATTCAAGGAGTTAGTCAATTTTGTCTTTACAAATTCAACTTTTATCCAAGTTAAATATATGATTTAGTAAAAATATGAGAAACCTACTTTTCTGGGGGAAGTGTTGTCCAAAGTTTTACTAAATTAGGAAGTTATATTAAATTTGACTTTGTGAAGTCAAAATTATTCTTAAAGTTCGTATTTAGCTTTATACAAATTTTGGAAAGATATTTTTATAGAAAAAGTGTTGCAAAAAAATATATAGTTTCAAGGAGTTAGATTATACTTGGAAGGAAAACTTTGACAATCCACCCTGTACAAAATAGATACTCTCAAAAAAATATTATGATCTCTGATATCATATAGAGTTAAGTTTAAACTTAGTTTTGTGAGAGGTTAGAGTAAGATGTGGTGTGAGGGTTTATTCTCCATAAACTTAAAGTTTAGCTTTGGGATGTTGCCTGTGTTGTGTTATAGGTCCTCTTTGGTCATTTCGATTAAAAATTTGATTAGTTTCAGTCCGATCCTACGCGGATCGTCTTCTGTTATTTTTTGATAACATGTCGGTTTCTGACTCAACTCTAAGTCATTCGCGCGACTCAACCTAAGATCTTAGCCCCTGAAGGTTGAAATGTTTATTTGGTTTTTTACCTGAACTTTTATTAAATGGTCATTTAAAAAGGATTGGATCCGGTGAGACGGACATGGTGGGGCGGGGGGGAAGAGGGGGCGATTGGGTGGGCGGTACAGTGTTTGGGAGGAGGAGAACGTTAGGCAGGCGATAGGGGACTTGGAAGTCACTGAAGGATTTCCTCTGCCAACCAGATTTTGAACTCCTCCACAGTTTCCATGTGATATTGAGGGCAATGTCCAATTCCAAAGAAAAGTTGTTGGGGTCCTTCCAAATATGCATATAAGAGTCTCGAATGGTCTTCCTGGCGGCAGGGGTTTTTTCCTCGAATAAATCACACTTCATCCGCTTTCAGGCTTCCTGGGTCTTGGTCATCCTCTGCTCTTCAACAACTTGTTGTAGGTCGAATTGGTGGTCCTTTCTTTTAAATGAACATCTGGCTCTCCACACCAACATGAGGAGGTGCAGCCTCGTGTATGAGAAAAGGTAATCACGAACTGGTTGCCCCTTTGCCATAGCGTTTAGGGTGCAAGGTTAGGGCCGCTGGCAGGGGCCCGACTAACATAAGAACCGAGCATTTGCCAGTAACTTAGCCTCTTTTTCATATGCCCCCACCAAGAAACTAGATTTGAGAGAAGAATATAGATTTGAGAGAGGAATATAAATTAGTTATTTTTTTAAAAAGGAGTAGTCGAGCGAGCCCCTAAATGTAGATCGCATTCCCTCTGATGCCTGGAGGGAGACAACAAAGCTATGTTTGCAAGGGTCCCCTGTATAAGCCCTAGGAGTAGTGGTAGGTAGGTAGTGAAGGTGAATTGAAAAAAAGATGATGAAAATTTTGGAAGAAGAATATAGCATAGTTCGCAACCAGAATCGCTGCGTATAGATGAATGTCTTTTGTCGTTTAGCGGTCGGTTTCCATATGGGGAATGTTGTCGACCGTGAGGGCGTTATTGCGCGTTTAATAAAGTTGCTGTCGCCAACTGAGCACCGACCGGTGGTTTCGTGAGGGAACGCGACGGTGGTCGTGGGAGATAGTGGTGCGGTCTTCTGGTGGAGTGCGGGCAACTGGAGGTCGTAGCGGCTTTCCAGTATAGGAAAGTTTTCCATTATCTGACCGTTCATTCTCCACCGAGAGCGACGGTACGTATGCTTTTTTTTTTTTTGTCTGGTCGGTACAGTTGCTGTTGTGGGCATCACTGTACTACTCTACTCGCCCAATGTGCAATTGGCAAATGTATCTTACCTAGAAAGTTAGACAGGTACGCTGCCCATGTTTTTGTCTTGGAGCGGGCCCTTTTTGGCGCCCCGGCACTGGTTGCGAGGGCTTGCTCATCTATCTACTGCGTATTGAGGGAAGATCCCTTCCGTTCATTTATTTCATGCACCTAGGTCCTCTTGATTGGGGCCCACGTCCACTGAGGGTATTGAACGCATTTACAGCAAGACCTGGATGCATCTGGCCACCATTGGATCCATCTCCCTCTTTCTGTATTTCTTATGCGGTCAGATTCGTCCTGCCGTCTAGAAACACGTTTCTACTCTATTTTTTTCTACGGCCTATGGCCTCGCTCCACTACTCTCGAAATGTGCAAGACGAGAGTGAATCTCTGCTAGAACATGGAAAGATACAGAGCCATGCTTTTTTTTTTTTCCCAAAGTAATCTATATTCTTCTCTCAATCTATTTCATCTTTCTTGGTAGTACGCATCTATCTCATCCTCCCACTAGTCTATTTATAGTACGGGGGAACACCAACCAACCGGGATCTCTCCCCAGCCCACGGGGTAGGTTTGCACCACAGCTGTGGTGCGAGAGCAAGGCTGTACCAGTCCCTCATCACGGTGACGAGGGGTGGGCAGGCATTGCCGATGGGGGAAATCGGCGGTGCTAGCGCCGAGCAATGGCCAGTGACTGCACCTCCCCCTACCCCCCCCCAACCCCACATGGCGGTGTCTAATGGCCAATATTGTCGCTGCATAGCAGCCAACAACATCAGCCAAGGTCCTGCCAATGCTGGCTTGGGGGGCCAACTGGTTATCTCCAGCTGGTAGAACACCAAGCCTGCCCAAGCACGTACGTGAGGCCAACGGGGATTGAACCCACAACCTCCTGAATGCAACTTCTGTGCCTTACCAACTGAGCTAGGCCCGCAGGCCGAGCCATGATTTTTGTCTTTTGCGCGTGTCGAGAGTACTGGAGCGAGGCCCTATGGCGTGGCATTCTCCATCTGCACGGTGGGGCTGGTATATCTGCCAAATGTGCTCTCGGCGATATCCCCGCCGTCCTGGCTGCGGCCCGACGCCCTGCGTGGTATCAAATTGATATAAAGATCGCGCACGTGAAGGTGACCGCTGACCTTTGGCCTCTGACTCCCTACCGGTAGTTACCTGTTACCCGTCGTCACCGGAATAGGGCGACCGGTCGTTATCGTTGCATCTGGTCTTTCACCCCAGATACAGCAATAACGGCAGGACGGTCTATTCGGGGGCGTGGTCCCACTAGCAAAGAGGGTCGGATCGAATGCCTGCATCTGGACGAGTGTATGGAGATGTGCAGGAAATCGAGATTGAACTGCTTTTCTGCATCTCTGCTTAAAACACATCCAGATTCAGGAGCTCGATCCTATCCTCTTTTGCTACTAGTGTGGGACCTCGGCCCAGGTAAAGACGGTGTTGGCCTCTTCGTTTCTTTTGTTGTTTTTTGGGTTTGGGCTTCGTTCTCGCGCCCTTTTTTTTTTCTTTTTTTTGTTTTCCTTTGGCTTTGTGCCCTTTGACTGTCCCCGGTTTGTGACTGGACAGAGCGACCGTTCGAGTGCAGCACCACCTTCCCTCCTCCTGCGTGCTGGTTGTCGGAGGATGGTGATGGTGGGCGGGCGGGAGTTTGTTCGATGCCGATAGTCATATGCCACGTGGTACGTCTACGACCAGCCCTCCTCCTACCCCTTAATTAGTCAAACACGGCGGCCACGTGGAACGCTTTTCTTCTTTCTCCTTCTTTGTCTTGTTCTTGTTGTTGTTCTTCTTCTCCGCCTTCAATCCCCCCCCCCCCCCCCCCCTTCTCTCCTCCTTCCCTTTTTCTCCTTGCCTCGCCATTTTCTTCATTTTTTCTTTTATTTTTGTCCTATTTTGTTATTTTTTGGTTCTTTTCTCTTTGTCCGCCTCCTCTGTTCTTGTACTTTCTTTGTAGTTTCGTTGTTTTTTCCTTTTTTCTTCCTTTTTCTGGGAAATGACCAGAGCGCAGCGCGACGCGACGGAGTATATCAGCGTGCAAGGGAAGAGCGCGCTGTGGAGTGCAGTCAGTGGACAGCAGCGTGCCACGTGGAAGTGCAAATAGTGGACAGCAGCGTGCCACGTGGAGTGCAAAGGGTGGACTGCAGCGTGCCACGTGGAGTGCAAAGAGTGGACAGCAGCGTGCCGTCTTTTGAAAATCTATTATATTCTGTTTCTTGAATCCAGAAACCGAATGGGTAGCGACGTGTGCCACGTGGCACTCTTTGGAAACCATTCGGTCGGGATGGCCAAAGAGCTGAAGGCCGAGGGTAGCGGTTCCATGTGACACATCGGCTGATTTGCAATGCAGTAAAGGCTGCCACGTGGCACATCGAATGGTCTATTTAGCTCAGTAAGCGCTGCCACGTGGGACATCGAATGGTCTGTATCTCTGTTACCGCTGCCAGGTGGCACATTGGATGGTCTATTTAGCTCAGTAAGCGCTGCCACGTGGCACATCGGCTTCCCTCTTCTCTATTGTTTTGATCGTCGCGCGTTTCTGAGCTCGGACTTCAACAAGCTCAGAAACGCGCGGTCATTATGACTGCATCTGGACTGAAAGTTGCCCCAAATACGGCTGTCGAATCATTGAAGCTAAAGTCTCATTGTTGAAGTCCGAGCTGGTGCAATGCGACTTTAGCTTCTATGATTGGACAGCTAGCACATCTTCACCCGCGAATAGAATGCCCGGTCATTATGGATGCATCTGGACTGAAAGTTGCCCCAAATACGGCTATAATAACCTGGCGTTCTATTCTTCTTCTTCTTCTTCTTCTTCTTTTCCTCCCTCCTCCCTCCTCCTTCCTCCTCTTTCCGTGCCCTTCTTCTTCTCTTTCTTCTTCATTGCGCGTGCTAAACAAGAACGATGTGGAGTTCATCATGAATGAACCCTAATCGTGAATGTATACAAGCGCTGAATCCGGCGCGATACAGTCACATTGAGGGCGCCTTGTTTTTCGGAGGAAAGTTTTAATCTTTTTTTTTTTTTTTTTTTTTTTTTTTTTTTT